ACAACAGTGCAGCACTCTTAATTCTGCAATAGATTTTATTAAATCTCTGAACTAGGAGTTTGAATCTGCAACCTTCTTCTGATTTAGATGCAAGAACAATAACACGGTGCCACAGCTCAGCACGTACCCCATTTCTGCACATGTGGCAGTACAGCAATTATTGTGGTCTAACCCTTCCCCCATTCAGTGTAAACCATCAAGTTCTCAGCACGTTGCAATGTTTAACTACAAGGCAAAAAAAAATGTAACACAATGCAGGACAAAAAGACAAAACTCTTAGTTGTGCTTCACTTCATTCCCTAGTGGAAGCAGATATTAATATTTACCATTGTTGAGTTTGCTCTGCTTTGTAAAATGAGATTCAAAGGTGCTTTCAGTCTCTCCAACACTAACTGTGGCAGATTTCCCTGGTCACTTAAAATTCACTTACAAAGTTATGAGAACTAACACAGAGGAAATCAGCCCACCAAGTTCACAACGTAACTAAGGCACAGCAACCAAAAGAACATGCTCCCCATGCACCAGAAATCACTTGGTTATAGACACTGTTAAGCACATTCTAGTGACGACAGCCAAAGTGAAAGAGCATTTTTGACCATCTCAGCTCACATGTGTAACCCATTCTTAAGTGGAAAGGAGACTCAAATTGGAGCCAATTTTAACCTCATTCATTCATTAGGAAGCAGATGTAATCCTGATTTACACCCATCCAATATCACTGTCTATAGTGGATGGGGTCAGAAACTGCATCCCACGTGATCCCATAGATTTCCCGCTTCTCAGGCTAGGTTAAAATTGCTCCACTTGAACTAATGCACAATGTGACAAAGCAGCAATCTCTAAGACAGATAGCAAAGTATAGAATCATTGATCCTTCCCACATATTCTCCTTAATAGCACCATGGAATGGGAGCGGGTCTGATTTTTTAAATCAGTTTTCCATTTTATTTGTTGGTACTGAGCCAATAGTCCATGAATTTAATGAGTGATTACTTCCATACTGCAGGATAATTAGGATAGAAATTATTGCATAAAACCCCAAATCATCAAGAATATCTTACCCAATTTCATCGAACCAAGAGACAAAACTCACGAAATCAGATTTGGCCTCAGTGTAAATTTCAAGAACAAGATCTGATGCTCATTTTGTCACCCTCAACATCATCAACTCCTAACAACGCCAGATTCCAGCTATCTCAGACTCATTTCCCGCTGGCCTCTGACCTTCAGCCACTCCCCTCCTCCACACCCAGCCCCATTCCAAACTTATTGTGGTCAGTCCTGTAAAAGGACCTCTCCACGTCAGTTCTCATAAGACACCAATAACCTTTCCCCCGCTGATCAGCCGGCTGTACATTTGCAGCATTTTCTGATTTCAGGGCAGTTCCAATGTTGCTTTTGCCAGGTATCTTAAGCTACACCCTTTATGATATCAATCATCCAATAAAAGCAATTAAAACTATCTTTTTGTAAATAGCAACCTAGAAAGAGGAGGCCATTCAGCCCTTTTTACTTGCTCCAACGATTCAATTAGATCATGACTGATCTGAAGCTGTTACCCACCTTGGTTCCACATCCCTGAATACCCTTACCCAACAGAAATCAATCTCAGTTTTGGGAGGGAGACGGAAAGAGTTCCAGATTCCCACACCCCCTTGTGTGTGAAGACGTGGTCTCTGACCACCCCCGCCGCGGTCGAATTTTAATGTTCCGTTCTTAAGATTACCTCCCCCCCAAACCAAATAAAAGGGGAAAAGGGTACATGGAAAGAAACCGTCAAATCCTTCTATTATTTTACATACCTCAGTTAGATCATCCCTTTAATCGTCTCTACTCGAGGGCATAACAATATTTCAATGCCAGTTCATGCATATTTCCAGAAATGTACAAACCCTGTTTATTCATTATTCCTTTAACAACTCTTAAGCCTTCGATGCAAACCCTGGTGCTGAGAATCGTGCCTCATCGGGGATATGTGAGCAGAATGTACTATTTCAGCATTTATGCTCACCGTACCTGGTCTGGTCCCTGGAAACAGATCCTGCACAATGGGCTCTCGGTGCTACTGAGAGACACCGAGTCCATCCCGGTCTGGAGAGGCGCATTGCTCTCTTTCTCCTCCTGTCCCCCTCCAGCTCCGGCACCTTCCGCCCCGTAACAATCCTCGTCGGCCCGGGACGAGCAATTGGGGAACGGAGGCCAGCCGCATCCCGATCCAACCAGCCGCCCTCCTCCTCCTCCTTCCTCTTCTCCTTCCCTCCTCTGGCCCGTCTCTAAATCTTGCTCGCTCCTTTGCATCGTAAAAGATCTCATCAAAACCAGCACTTTTAGGTCATTGAAAACCATGCGGATGTGATACTTAAACATCATTTACATCTGGTGTTTGCACTAAACCGAATGCAAAACAACACAAAAAAAGTCGATTAGTGATCACTGCTAAAAAATATACGTTTAAAAATCCTGGCAGCAAAATTCCTCGACTGAGCACAGAATTGGTGCTGCGGGAGAAATCGCCGGTGCCATTGTAGCAGCGCATCCCATTGTCCGCGCCTTATCCAGAGGAGAGGGAGCTGCTCGCTTCTCCCGAGCCGCTCAACGCCATCCCGCTCCTCCCCGGCACCAGGCGCCGCCCGCCGGCCTCTTTCATCTTTTCTCGCCACATTCCCCAACCCGCGCACGTCTAAACCCGACGTGTGCGTGTTTCAAACCAGCCAGAGCCCAGCCTTCATCTCCTGGGCGATCCCACCCTGAGACCAAACAGGAGGCGAGAGCTGCTCTTCCCCTGCCCCTTGTGCACTTGTTTGAAATCACCCTCTTCCTTCCAGCGTTAATACCTTCTGTTACATGTTTATTTGGCTTTTTATTCGCCCTCCTCCCTCATGCCATTGAAACTTAGCAGCTGCACGTTGACGTCCCCCACGTGTGAATTTCCCGCGGAATCAGCTTCTTTCCCCGTTTTAATAGATAGAATTGGACAGCGATTCCCGGGAGTCACCATCTACTCCCATCCCTTTGTATGTTCCAGGTTCACTGAGGCAAGTTCTGAGGAAGGGGTCACCGGACCCGAAACGTTAACTCTGATTTTTTCTTCACAGATGCTGCCAGACCTGCTGAGCTTTTCCAGCAACTTCTGTTTTTTTTTCCTGATTTACAGCGTCAGCAATTCTTTCGGTTTTCACCCGTTGTTTTTGACGGCAATCTTCAATTCCACTTGTAACACACCCGGAAAAGACAACTCTCCTTAAAACTTACCTCTTAGTTTGATAATCAGTCCATAAAGCTCCTTGGGGCGTTGCTTACTGCAATAAGGGCACTGCATAAAAGCAAGTTATTGGAAAGGCCAACATTCAGCCTGCCCCATCCCCATCCAAACAGGATGCAACCTACAGACACTATCAGCTCCACAAGGTCAACGCTGAACAAAACACTGCACCCATCAATCCAATCAGTTTCCTAATAAGTAGATTTGGTTGAAATAATCTTCTATGGATCATCACCTTGAGGGGAGAGAATATTACAGCGAAATCAAATATTTCCAGAGCAGTTGGGTACGATGATAAGGATTTACAGATTCTGACCAGCAGTGTATACTATGATGCCACAAGTGGTTCTGAAGCTTTCCTGCATAAAACAGCTCGGTCAAGGAAACTATCACAGCCAGCAGCTAATTGCAGTGCAACATAACTTTGCTATCTAGCTCTGAAAACTTCAACATCTAGCCAAGAAACAAAAACAGAAATTGCTCAAAAGGCTCAGTAGGTCTGGCAGCATGTGTGGAGAGAAATTAGAGTTAACATTTCGGGTTCAGTGACCCTTAGAACAGTCTAGCCCAGTATAGATACATTAAAAGAGGAAACTAGACAAGCGTAAGGGGGAGAAGGGAATAGAGGGTTACAATGGTAAATTAGAGAATATGAGAGGTGGCTAGAGTGAAGAATCAATACACAACTGTTCAATTGAATGGCTTGTCTCTATGCCATGTAACCTATGTAATTACAAAATATTAGTGGCATGATTATGTTATCTCTCCAGCTGGAATACCAACAATGTGCAGGAATAATTTATGAATTTGTATTTCCAACACAGAGTTTCAAATCAGGAATTTTCCTGGCAATTCCCATAACATCCTATCCACTGAAACAGCCCTGGAAGTAGTGATTGTAACAACGTCAGCCAGGTGGACCTCATAGAATATGAGTTCCCTGATTGGGGCTGTTAAGCTGGTCCAATCAGGGATCCCTGGCTGACAGATAAAAACAGGAGTGTCAGACATCTTGTTTACTCTGAGAGCTGGCTCTGAGGGAGCTGGATCAGTGTAAAGGACTGTCCATATGTAAATAAAGGGTAACCTGATGGCAGGATGCCAGCCTCTTGGAGTTATTTCAAGGACAATATGTCCCCACTGACCAAATAATACATTATCCAGGGGTAGATTTCTTTCATTAGCATTCCATGCACAATAGACATGTACACAGCCTAAAAGATGGAAAATTGTTTTCTGCTTCACTGAAAACATTTAATTTCTCTTTGAACTATTCTGATTTGTCATCTGCACTTGTCTTCCTACACACTGCACAAGGAACCTTCCTTTATTGACAACAGGTGAACACTTTTGCACATTTGAATATACCGTCACAATTTAAGATTTGTAGTGATTTTTACTTTGAGTGTAAGATGAAATGACATTGATTCTGAAGTCCTTTATGCATTTTTTGAAGTCATTAGAGAAGGAAATCAGAAGCTGTGGAAAATGCAAAGCTGCTGGTTGGTCAACACTACTGTCAAAGTCAAAATGATTCCCTTAAAGAAATATTTACATCAATATCGCCTCTTTCATGACTTCAAGTCATCCCAAAACCCTTTACAACCAGTTACATTATTTTGAAATGTGGTCATTGTCATATTGTAGGAAATTCAGCAGCCTATTTGCACATAGCAAGTTCCCACAAACAACAATGAGCTAAATAACCCAGTCATCTGTTTTTAATGATGTTTGAAGTATTGTGTCATTTGAAAGATAGCATTTCCAGCAATCATTTTGCACTTGTCAGAGGGCATCTCAAATTACATATAATGTGGAATTTTAGTCTGGCAGAAGAGACTAAATGCAAGCATCAAAGCAATTACTCTTCCACAGAGAGTCATTGTTCATGAGTTCCTCACCCTAACCCTAGTGCAGAAATATATTTTAAAGCCCCATTCTTTGTACATGTGGAATCAGCACTTTTTCTATTATCAAGTCAGCAATTTAAGACTGCTCAAATTCTCTGCAGCCTAAAATGAAAAGTATCCATTTTCTTTATAATAATGAGTCAATATACAGAAAGGAGATAGTGTTCAATGGACCTGCAGTCTCATTAAACCACCTTTGTGTGATGCATTCTGCAGCCTTTATCTCTGAGCAACTCTGCATACATCATGGTGTGATTTTGTCACTTTGTGTTCTTGTGTTAGAACCAAAAAGTCTAAAACTCAGATACCTAGCCAGCAGGGCATCTAGCTCCTGAAAATCTTTCTTCCATAGATCCATGGAATTTGTGTTGTTAAATCTCTGATTTATGGGACACTTGGTGATGCTCCTGGAGCCATCACTTGCTTCAAGATCCCCTGCATTGTAGAGAAGCTCTCATTGAAAGCACAATAAAGGATGGCATTGCTGCCAACCCTGCCATCTGCTACACATTTTCATGCTGTCTTCACATTGCCTTCAGGTGGCTCTGATATTGTTCATCTTTTCGTTGGTAGGATTTTTAAGAACAGAATCTGAATGTTCAACAGTCAGTGCCTAACATTTCTAAAGCTTCCACTCAAGTATATCCTGGTCATAGCATAATGGTAATGTCACTGGCCTAGCAATCCAGCACACATATGCATCACCACCCACCCCCACCAGCGCCCCCCACCCCCAAACCCGCCAGACCAATGCTCTTGGGACACGAGTTCAAACCCCACCATGGCAGATGGTGGAATTTAAATTCATTTTTTAAAAAAATGTAAAGCTTATTATGGAAGCCCATCTGATTCACTAATGATCTGTAGGGAGGGAAATCTGACATCCTTACCTGCTGTGGCCTACATGTGAGTTCAGACCCACAGTAATGTGGTTGACTCTTAACTGCCCGGGATGGGCAATAAATGCTGGGCTAGTCAGTGACACCCATGTCCTGTGAATGAATATTTAGAAAAAAGGTCAGTTTCTACAGGCAGGATCAGATATTTAAGCTCTAATTTTGATTCCCTTGCTCTTTTTCTCCCTTTGTTTCTCTCTTTCTCTTTAATGCTTCTGGCTTTAGCAGAGATAAGAAGAACGAGAAATACAATTCATTTTTGCAGTCCATGTTTTGCTGCCTGTGAAGCTCATGGAATGGTCTCCTCATGGTTTGAAAGAAAAAGTGGAACCGTTTCTCTTCTTTAAACGGCAGCACTTAATCAGCACAAACTATTTGTGGATGAGGGCCACCCCCAAGTTGTCATCCCCTACAGCATTATTTAAATGAATTGCCTGGATTTGCTTTGTCTCTTCCTTGGCCTGTCTTTCTTGGCAATTGTGCACAATCATTTCCTGAGGGAGAAAGAATGCTAGTTATTGACGATTATGACCTGTAGAAATTGACAACCATTTGACAACTCATCACCTTCACATAGAATTCACATGTCATGCATCCAGTGAAGGGCCACTGGTCCATTTAATTAAAAACTTCTACATGCATGGTACGACAGACCATTTACTGTACAACCCCTTGAAGACTACCTCTCTTCATTATCACAAGAAATTTGATTGGTGTATGTTGGTAGCTGTGGCCAATCTGACTGTGCTAGCTGTTGATCACTCTTGCCTGCATTCTTTGATGTAAGCAGGACTAACTCTGATTGATTGTTTCCACAGAAATCTCTGCAAGCACAAATCCTCTGCCAGAGCAAAGTGGTAGACCTCTGTCTGTAGATATTGGTATGTGCACATCAATGAGAGGCCATAACATATCTATTGTACAACTGGCCAGTTGACAACCTGTCACAAAATTCAGATTCTCACTGAGGCATTGCAAATTGTCCAGTGAGCAGGCTTCTTGTGATTTGTACAGCAGTATATCTTACCAATGCTGTATTTGCCCTTGGAATGTTTGACGCAAACACCACAAACAAAGACGATCAAGAGCTTCGAGCCCCATACCCTCCTCCAACCCCCCTCCCAATTAGCATGAAACGTCTCCAGAAATATCTAAGAAAAATGGCTTTGAAGGCTCAACGAAAGATACTTGGTGCTGTCAAACAGCTAAATTAAGTTGTGTTCGAAGTACTGCTGGAGAGATTCGAAAGAGCAGCCTTTTCTACGCTAGCCTCCCTTGCAGCTGTTGTGATGAGATTACCCATTTTGAGCCATATTATGGTCAATCTTGTTCTGTGAACTCAGTTCTCATGGGACCCAGGCTGAGAATGAGACTGTCTGGTTCCATTTCACTTAGGCCCTCAGTGAGCTGATGGGGAGAGACTTTTGTC